GAGTTGGGATAGAGGAGGAGGAAGGAGGAATCTAGGCGTTGGAGAAAGCCGGATGGGAGTTGGGATAGAGGAGGAGGAAGGAGGAATCTAGGCATGGGGCAAGGTCAGGGGAGCAAGGGGACAGAGGGAGAGTTCGGGACGGGGAGAGAGGGATGGGAGGTGGGGACCGGCAGGTCGCGCTCGGAAACGTGAAGACGGAGAGGTCGGGATCAGGGACGGAGAGTTGGAACGATGTCGGCGGAAGGAAGGAGAGGGGGAGAGAGGTTGAAACGGGAAGGAAGGGAAGGTAGAGGGGGGAAGAGGTCGGGATGAGGTTGGGATGGGATGGGATTCGGGAGGTTGGGATGGGAGACGGGTTGGGACGGGGAAGGGAAGGTGGAGGGGGGATCGGGATAACGTCACATTGGGACGATGTACGGAGAAGGAAAAAGAGGGGAGGAGAGGTCGGGACAACAAGGAAGGGGAGAGGGGCGGGGGAGGTCGGGATGGGAGACGGGGCGATGTCGGGATAGGGAAGGGGGGCGACAAGGTCGAGGTAGTCGAAATAGGGGAGAAGAAAGGAAGAATCTAGAAGAGATCGGAATGAGAGTTGGGATAAGGCAGAGAGAGAGGCGATAGAAGGAAAGGAGAGATCAGGATAGGTCGAGACGATGACGCGAGGAGGAGGGAGGAGGAATCTAGGCATGCGAAACGAGTCGCGAGGATATTGGGATAGGGGAGGGGGACGAAGGAAGGAGAGGGGGGGAAAACTCGAGACGAGAAGGAGAGGTCGGGATGGGATATGGAAAGCGACACGCCTATATAGAACACATGAAATCAACTCTTTTAGCCCCCTTTTGTTTTTCTTTTTTTTTTGCTAGTCCGTCGGTAAACGGATACGATTTGTTTATTTATTTATTTTTTTCATTTTTTTTATTTTATTTTTTTCTCAATTGTTTTTTTTGCCTCAATATTTTTTTTACTCATCCTCGATTCTCACGATCTTTACTCTTCTCGCCGTGGACGAAGCCGCGGCGGGTCCACTTGTTTTTTATAAAGCAAGATAAATAATAGACAAGTTTGGCAAATCCATTTACTTGTGAAATTATTATTACACCTGCTGCAAAGCCTTATGTACTGCTTATGATTAAGAAAGAGACGTATTTCAAAAATAAGAATTGCAAAAGGATGAGGTAGTGAAAAAAAAAAAACATAAGACCATAAGTCCTTTTGCTTTTACCGACAAAACATATCGCAGAACAGATGAAATTACATGTGATTGAAAAGGCACCTCGAACGATCAGCGTAATTCTCATTTTTTGTTATACCCTAGCCCAAAGAACCAACCTATCATTGCTGAAATTACTATAATACAAAATTCAACGAGGGCCATTGCGGTAAAGAACAAGCCAACAATCAAGAGTCGAGATCCTTGCATGATCTTTCTTGAGAAGCTTAGCCCTCATTTTCTGCCACCAAGTTTTCATATTCCAACTGAATAACGAACGCGGGCGAAAGCAAATGAGTTTCCGAAATTCCCAAGGCCACATGATACCCGATATTTCACTGGACTCCACTGACACTGATAATTGGTCGACCATGAGTTCAATACGTAATTCAGTGCCAACCTCACGTGGTGTTGGGCGACTTTTTAAGCAAGTTGGCTTCATTTCCACACAAAGACGAGGGGACTCTGCATAAATCTCAATAGGCAATATATGTCAATCCAACTACCAAGTGCGCGCAAGGAAATTTCCCAGATTATCACATAATGTCATGTCGAACGTTCATCAACCCTTCGGTCGTCATCCTCAAAGGTAAGCAAAAAACTGCTACCCTATCATTTCCTATTCGTGACCATATGCCCCCAAGTGTATGACTATGCCCGCATCATGCACGCTGCCTACTCGTTCCATTGGTAGCATCCTGCAGATCATTATTAGTAGCAAGGCTATGGCACAAAGAGCATAGACTAGAGAAGCAACGCAGAGGGAGAGGATTAATACATGGGGCGCTGAAGAGTGGGGGGATGGAACTCAAGGATAACCAGGAGCGGGGCACAACTGCACAGGAGTAGAAGCATGGGAAGACTCGAGAATAGTGAAGATAGCCATAGCACAAAGGATAGTTATTAAGACGACCCTTAAGAGGATAACGCCACGATACATCCATTTAAAGATATCCATGGTGGTCAAGTCGAAGGAACGCCTTTACGCAGAACACCTCCGCTGAATCAACTGCACATCAGTCACATTGAAATGAGGAGGAACCCTGCAGCAACAGATGAAGGGGTGGTGAGAGATATCAACGGTCAACACAAATGCCATGTACACTAGAAATAACGCAAATAAGGCACATTTGCCCCCTACTTCGGCTGGCGGTTTGGCAGTTTGCCTTACCTGGGCTCTTAGGCCTGGTATCGATTCTCGATATGAGCGACTTAGGTTGTCTGGGTTTTGGAGGGTACTCTTGCCTTTTGGGTGGCCTTTTTGGACCCACCCACCACACAGGTGTATTCTTCGCAGCTTCTTTCGGAACCTTTCCGGTTACACGGTCCTTTTACGAGATGAGGTTGTGCGCTTGGTGGCGACGCATTTTCTACCGCCGCCTGGTCACTTTGATCCCTCTGACCTCTAGTCTTCTGACAATGACGGTTCTGAGGGTTTTTTTTCTTCCAGTTTTGCTATATCTAGGCAGGGTGCGTCGATGATGTCCTCTCACTTTGCATCTGTAGCGCCGACGCGCCGATGTGCGACTCTGGGTTGCATACTCCGAGTTGCTTTTGAAGCCTTTTGGGCCAAACAGTTTGAGGGACACCTATGGTGGTCAACCTCGAGCTGCTCTTCGTGTTATGACGGGCGGACTCCTACTCACCTTCGGGGGTCGCTACCGCGCTCTGGGGCATCTTTTCTGCATTTGGTTCTTCGCACTCTTCGCCTGTGACGAACTGTTTTTTGAAAGGGTGTCTATGCTCGATCGTCGGGGATTCATCTCGACGAAGTACCTCCTTCGGCATTCATGGCGAGTTCCTCGGGCGCCTTCGGAAGATGCGGATCGCCGAGAACCTTTCCTTGTGTGTCCTTTGTTTGTTCTCCTGTGTGTTTGTCTTGTGTGATGGGCTGTTTTTGCAGGAATTTCGATGCGTTTTCTCTCCAGATGCCGCCTCATCTTTTCTTTGATTACAGCAGGATGGGTCGTGCTGATCATCCCAGGGTTGGCTCTTTTTTTTTGTTTTCGTGTGTTGATACATCGAAGGGGACTTCGACATAGTTTCTCCTCTTAGGGATCGATTTGGTCGGGATAGGCTAGGCTATTTAAGGAGGCAAGGCTATTGGTATTGGCCTCCTAAGTTGAACCGTGGTTCGGGTGGATCAGGTTTCCTCCTGGTGACGGTACTGGCGGGGTAGCAGAAACGCGTTGAGGGATGACCGCTTTGGTTTAAGGATAGATATGGTGGATTTGCGTTTGAGTATAAGCCTTAATTGATGCTTTCCTTTCGGGTTTTTGTTCCTTCTGTATACTTGGACTATGTTCAATTTATTGCGTGCGATCAGGATTGTCTTATTTTTTTAGTGTATTCTTCTATCCTGACTCATGCGAGAGACTGTTGGTCGGCAGTTCTTCTTCTTTGATTAACATGGTATCCGTGAATGCGGTTGCACATTGGTTGGTGGCCACGCCTACGCTTTGATGGTGGTTTGCCGTTTCGTTGGGTGGACATTTGGTGGGCTCTCATTCTCTTTTGGTATTTGTACTGCCCGATTAGTTGTACGTCGGATCGGTTTGGTGTTCCTCGACGCTCGCCTTCTCCTCTTTCGCCTTGGGTTTGGGCGTTCTTTCTCATTTTTTTTTTTGGTTTGTTGCTTTTAATATGATGTGGTTGCTTCTGCGGTGTGCTTTGCTTATCGAGGATCACCTCATTCAAATTGTGGTAACTGTAGACGATGAGACAGGTCGGTATGGGATTTTCGTTAGGCACGATTATGACCCTTTTGTTTTGAATCTCTCACTTCGTGTTCGATCTCAACATGGTTGGGAATGGCCTGAAGTGCTTTTCCTGCGGAGGTGATGGTCACTTTGCTCGCGAATATCCGACTAACCGAAACAATCCCTGCGCGAATGCTGGTTGTCCAGGGACCCCTACTCCGGTTACGCCTCGTTTCTGGACTCCGCGACGGAACCTTGAGGGATTTGAAGAGGAGTTCCTCCGTACTTTGCTTTAGGAGCGTAAGCAACAAGAATCTCTTAAGAAAAAGATGGAGGATCGTCAGCGTGTTCAGGAGCAGCTGAAGGCTGAGATGGCCCAGCACGCAGAAGTCACTAAGGCTGAACTCTTGGCTTTGCTCGGACGACAGTTCATTGCCAATTGCGATGAGGCTAGGCGGGAGGAGGCTCGGTTGTTGTGCACGCCTCTGCCAGCTAGAAGGAGGGATGCGAGGGACGACGAACTTGGTAGAGGTTGACGATATCGATGATGAGATTCGACGTTTATACACACTCCATGAGAAACGGAGGCGGGGGAAGACGCCTTTGGCGGAAGTGGCTGCTTTCCGACGACCTACGTTCGATATGGACGGCTCTGTTGATGACAATGCACGCACTCGCGCTGAATGCTCCAGGCAAGCGAACGAAAGGAGGAAGAAGGTGCCGGCAGGAGGAGGACCCGATGGGATTCTTCACTTTATTCTCAACCAGCGCAGGACCTTGGAAGTTGGAAGGCCTCCGACAGGATCAACTGAAGAAGATTTGCGCTACTGAAGGAGTGCACTATTGTACTAAAGGACCTTCGATTGATCGAATTATTGCCGCTCGAACAATTTTGGCTTATGAAGGCTTCATCCTCATCCCGACTCAAGCTGCTGCTTCTCCTCCGCATTCCCCTGAGAATGTTGAGTCCAATCCTGCGTGACAAGCACGCTTCTCCAAGTTCCATCTATGGAGGAACCTGCTTGATGTCATGAGGAAATAGACTAATGCTTTTATTTTTGGCTTGCCTTTTAGGATTCGATTGCTTTATGACAAATGTTGCACTCTTTGCTTTGTTGCCTTGGTGCTATTGGGGGAAATTACTTGGTGTCGTAAGTTTGAAGGACTTCTCAGTTCTCTTGATTGGCTTTCCTGGGATAAGGGTCCGGTTGTCTATCTTCTTGCTTCTCCTTGGTGTCGTGCACAATATGTTGGTGGTACGATCTGTGGTTTGTATGTTCGATGGGGTGAGCATGTCCAGACCTCTTTCTCTGGGGGCCTTGGGGTCTGTCCTCGCCTCTACAAATGGTTGAGGAGATTTGGTGTTTGGAAGTATGTGGCTGTGCCATTGGTAAACGGGCTCTCTTCGATTGATCGTGTGGAACGTGCAGTCATTCAATTTTTTTATTCTTCGCTTAACTCGGAGGCTTTCACGACAGCGTAGGGTGGTGCGGGTAGCGCAAGTCCCTTGTGTCCTAGGCTTTATCAAATTCCGTATGGATGGTGGGCCCTGGACGGATAGTCTGGTGAACTTGTTACGAGAAGCCTATGTCAGCGGTGATCGGTACGTAACGGTGCACGTCACACCTGGTAGAAGTTGGGCGGATAGGTGGTCGATCGTGAGACGGGTCTTTGGCACCTCTCCCGTTTCTTTGTTAACTCATCGGTCGTCACTTCGCGATTCACACCGCTGCTTTGAATCTGGAGGGGATTTCCTTATTGGTCCATTGATGATCACGCCTAGTTCACAAAGGGGAGCTCCGTCTTCTGCTTCAACAACCTTGGCGGGGAAGGGGTCTGGGTAAGAGGTTCCTTGATGGACTGGTCCGCTGGTTTAAGGCGGCAAGAACCTTTTCTGGGAAGGATACCCGAATGACCCTCAAAGCGATCATTGCCCTTGCGATCAAGAGGAGGATTGGGTTCGATATCCGTAGGAAGGTTGTTGTGTGCGCGGTTTTAGACCATAGATTGCAATCTAACTCGGTTTTGGCCATGGTGGTTCGGAGCATTAACGAATCGGCCTTTCCCTTGTCTATTCGTGAGCTCGTTAAGCGGCGAGTACGTTTTGTCTGGAAAAAGAACAAAAAGGTAGGAGATTTAATTTGGACCCAAAATCGATTTGTACGGGGGGATTTTCCCATGGTATGTGCTTGCGAAGGAGAGATGTTTGGAAAAGGCATGGATTGCATGTTATGACTCGGATCGAAGATATCCCTTCTCTACCTGATCTACTGAGGAACTCTCAGAATATTCCGCTTTCCGATGGAAGGTTGGGCGTTAGGAACCTGGGGAAGGAGTTGGTGGCAGTGTGCAGGCTACTTAGGTCGGCTTTTGTGATTGATCCTCTTCAACTGCGAGAATGTTGGTCGGACGCAGGATTGAAACAGCCTTCGATGAAATCTCTGACGAATGATTGGATCGAGAGACTGAGGAAGTTTGTGTGTGTCCCGATTGATCGGAATGCTGCTGACACCCTGATTATCTGTGCTGAATTGTATCGACATTTCTTGCATCTCACTTTTGATTTTAGCCCCTCCTTTCGGCCGGCTGAAGCATCTCAGGACGAGATCCTGGTAAAAATGGAGGGGCGCTTCCGTTCCTGTAGGCTGGAACAACTGGGGAAATGGGACCCTAAGGGGTATTTTGGCCATGCTTATGTTTTGTCTAAACATAAGGACCTCCTTAGGTGACGTCCCATATCACCTACATTTTTGGAACCTACAAGATTGGCCTCGTCCAGGGTTGCTAAGGCTCTCAATTGCCTGCTCTTCGCGCTGGCCACTAGGTCTAACTTTAATCTCAAGTTCGTCGATAGGTTTACTGACGGGATTCGTAAGATGAATGCTGCATTGAATAGGCTTTCGGGGGGTTTTGATGTGCTTTCTGCCTCATTTGACGTCAAAGATATGTTTGTTTCGCTGCCTCAGAGCGATATTCGTAATGTTGTGTCTTGGTTGTTGTCCTTGTTTCGGCTAAAGGACTATCGAGGGGTTAATATAGCCCGACAGGGTAAGGCTGCCTTTTTATCCTTTGGCTCACGTCGACCCGATTGTATTCTGGTGACCTTGCAATCTATCGAAGATATGGTAGGTACTGATTTGGACTTCACGTATATCTGGTCTGAGCAGAGACTCCTGAGGCAGGTCGTTGGGGTACCTATGGGAAAATCCACTAGTTGCTCCTTGGCCAGCATCCTGTGTGCTTATGCGGAGAACCGCTTTCTTCTATCACTTGAGGTAACCGACGGTTGGTTTTTTGGCTTTAGGATTGTCGATGATGTTACCATTTTCGTTGCGGTTTTGGGAAGAGATGGTCGCTGTCGTGCTAGTCGTATCCTGTCTTCTTTTGGATCCTGCTACAGTGACCGCCTTCGGCTTGAGAAGACTGATGGCGGTTTGGAGTCCTGGGTTTTTGCGGGGGTTTTGGTTGAGCGAGAGGGGCTTACCATTCGAACCTCAGCTATTGTTAAGAACGCGGATAGCCTCTGGCGGCTAAGACGGTTAACCTTTGGGTCTTTTCAAGATTTTGATTCATATTCCTCTAAACACACCAAGGTTGGCGCTATCACTAGTACTCTGTGTCGAGTTTTTCGGCTATCTTCGGACAGGTTCGGCAGGATGACTGCTTTCCTTGCCGTTCGACTGGAACTGATGCTGCGTAACTACCGGATGAAGCTGATTACACGGGCTTTCTCATGTTTCGCAGAGAAGTCCGGTTCGGTGGAAGCCTCTATTATGGCGCGTATGACGTCATGAGGTTTCGACTGGCGGTTTGGCAGTTTGCCTTACCTGGGCTCTTAGGCCTGGTATCGATTCTTGATATGGGACGCTTAGATTGTCCGGTTTTTGGAGGGTACTCTTGCCTTTTGGGTGGCCTTTTTGGACCCACCTACTACACAGGTGTATTCTTTGCAGCTTCTTTCGGAACCTTTTCGGTTACGCGGTCCTTTTACGAAATGAGGTTGTGCGCTTGGTGGCGGCACATTTTCTACGGCCGCCTGGTCGCTTTGATCCCTCTGACCTCTGGTCTTCTGACGATGACGGTTCTGAGGGTTTTTTTCCTTCCGGTTTTGCTATATCTAGGCAGGGTGCGTTGATGATGTCCTCTCACTTTGCATCTTTAGCGCTGACACGCCGATCTGCGACTCTGGGTTGCATACTCTGAGTTGCTTTTGAAGACTTCTGGGGGTGAACAGTTTGAGGGGCACCTATGGTGGTCACTCGCGAGCTGCTCTTCGTGTTATGACGGGCGGACTCCTACTCACCTTCGGGGGTCACTACCGCGCTCTGGGCATCTTTTCTGCATTCGGTTCTTCGCAGTCTCCGCCTGCGACGAACTGTTTTTTGAAGGGGTGTCTATGCTCGATCGTCGGGGATTCATCTCGACGAAGTACCTCCTTCGGCATTCATGGCGAGTTCTTCCGGCACCTTCGGAAGATGCTGATCGCCGAGAACCTTTCCTTATGTGTCCTTTGCTTGTTCTCTTGTGTGTTTGTCTTGTGTGATTGGCTGTTTTTGCAGGAATTTCGACACGTCTTCTCTCCAGATGCCGCCTCATTTTTTCTTTGATTACGGCAGGATGGGTCGTGCTGATCATCCCGGGGTTGGCTCTTCTTTTTGGTTTTTCTGTGTTGCTACATGGAAGGGGACTTTGGCATGGTTTTTCCTCTTAGGGATCGATTTGGTCGGGATAGGCCAGGCTATTTAAGGAGGCAAGGCTATTGGCATTGGCCTCCTAAGTTGAACGGTGGTTCGGGTGGATCAGGTTTCCTCCTGATGACGCTACTAGCGGGGTAGCAGAAACGAGTTGAGGGATGACCGCTTTGGTTTAAGGATAGATATGGTGGATTTGGGTTTGGGTATAAGCCTTAATTCATGCTTTCCTTTCGGGCTTTTGTTCCTTCTGTGTACTTAGACTATGTTCAATTTATTGTGTGTGATCAAGATTGTCTTATTTTGGTGTACTCTTCTATCCTGACTCATGCGAGAGACTGTTGGCCGGCAGTTCTTCTTCTTCTTCTTCTTCTACGATGCCGAGTTCGAAAAAATTTGACTCCATGTCTTGGGCAGCTATTAAGAGCATAACTCCTCAAAAGCTCCTACGCATGCTCAATCATGCAACCACAGCCCGAAAAGCACACAAAGATCATATACAAACAAGAGGTTAAGTAATATTATGGACCAAGGTGAGGAGGGGGGTAAGGCAGAAAGACATCCCAATTCGGTCAAGTGGCTCAATAATGCCGACACAACAAAGAAGGATTGAAGGGGGATGTTGATAGGCCAAAAGTGACACGCAGTATTCTCCAGCTAAGCAAAGTGGTCACCACGGATGGAGGCAGCTGTGCACATCCGAGAACAGCGTTGTCATTGTCGCAGTGCTTTCTACTGAAGGGCAGAGGGGTATCAGTTCGTTGCTTCCGCATAGCGTTTGAGGCCGCTCACGTCAACCATCCGAGTTAAATAGTAAAGATTACCTTCAGCTTTTCTCCCCGAAAAGTTCTGGACGGTCGTATCCTTGTTTCACTCGGGAGTTAGGTACCATAGTACTCCAGGCCCGGGGATTATTTTTCGGCCTCAAAGGGTAGCACGTGATTCCGGGTATTCCAAACCCGTCTTTCGGATAATCACCAGGTCCGACTCATACTTTTTGTGTGTGCGTGTGATTCTAGCAGTAGTGTTTGCAGTCTATAGGTCCATCTAAAAAAAGTTGTACAAAGTGGCCCAGCCTTCGTCCGGCAGGGGGGCCTGGCCGGTTGCGTCCGGCAGGGGGGCCCGACCGGTTGGGTCCCCCGGTTTGGCGCCAGGCGGGCCTAACACAATTTCGCGTGGGGGGGGGGGAGAGGCCTTTTTCGGCCAGTGGCAGCCTCCCCGGCCCCCAGGAGCACTTCGAAACTTTATGTTTCGATTTTCGGAGGAAGGTAAGGCGGCGGGTAGGCCTTCTTTGTAAGTTCTTCTTGTTTTTGGACTAAGGCAGGGGGAAGGGAATCTTCGGCTACTGATTCGAGCCCCCGATCTGCGAAGATCGGTGGCTGCGATCAGCCGCCAACAAACGACCTCTTTCCCCCCCCCTGGTCGTCTACGACGCCGCGTTCGAATTCGAACGTGGCATTCCCCACTTCGTTGCCGTCACGAAGCCCGCCTGTTGTCGCTGTCATCTCGAAGCCCGCCTGTCTTGGCCGCTGCTCGCCGTCTCGAGGCCCGCCCGTCTTCGTCGAGCCGTCGTCGTCGCTCCCCGTCGAGCTGCCCCGTCGAGCAGCTCTCCCTGTCGTCGTCGCCCGTCAAGCTGCTGTCGCCATCGTGGTGAATCCGCGTCCACCTCCTTCCTCTTCTTCTTCTTCTTCTTCCTCTCCTCCTCCTCCTCCTACTTTCGTCTTTTTCTCCTTTCCTCCTCCACCTTTCCTCCTCTTCTTCTTCTCCTCCTCTTCCTCCTCCTCCTTTCATCTTCTTCTCTCCTCCTCTTCCTCCTCCTCATTTCATCTTCATCTCTCCTCCTCCTCCTCCTCCTCCTCCTTCTTTCGTCTTCTTCTCTCGTCCTGGTCCTCCTCCTCCTCCTCGTTTCGTCTTCTTCTATCGTCCTCGTCCTCCTCCTCCTCCTCCACCTTTACTCTTCTTCTCTCCTCCTCCTCCTCCGCCTCCTCCTTTCGTCTTCTTCTCTCCTCCTCCTCCTCCTCCCTTCGTCGTCCTCCCTCCTCCTCCTTTCTCCTCCTCCTCCCTATTTCATTGGTTTTCTTTAGTACTAGGCGAAGTGCCACATGGCAACAGTAGTGTGCTGGGAACTGCCACATATC